TTAGTTTCAGTGATGCCATATTGTTCTTTCATTTGGCCGGAATAGCAAGCTGCTTTCGATCTGTACACGTAAGCCATTTCATTTGTATATTACTCAAATATTTCCGCGAACTGACAGTTTTTAGGTTAGAAAGGTGCAAAAGTGCAGAATCACTCCAGCATCCCCTTAACGTGTATATTTCTCACGGATGGAAAGTAGTCCCAAGAGTTGAATAAAAACTTTAGCCGCGCGAATTCTTTACCAAAATATTGAAACTTGTGTGTATATTCTAAAGTGTGTTAGATTTATTGCAAGAAAGTATAAACGTCTCTAAGGAAAATACAATATGTATCGAAAGTTGCCGGTTTCTGAGTTCTATAATTTATTGTAGCGAAACGAAAGACAATAAAAAAAGCAAGGTTCCTTGTGAATTTAATATGCTGATGTTCGCTCATATAACACATACTTTTTGATTGTTATTATTATTTATGATAAAATATTTTATTTTATCAAGTTATTTTTCTCCTATAATAAAAATTCTAATATTTTGAACAATTAACAGTTTCTCTCTCTTCTTTTCTTTCGTTTAGTTAATACGCCTATTTGTTATACTATTGATAGATATCGACAAAAGTAACGCTTCAACATAATGCCATAAACGTAACAAGTCTAAAATAAACCATAGATTTAGATTCAAAGACAGATTTTAACAAAAGAGATTTTACCTGGTGCCCCGTCCTTGTCAAATCCGCATAGTCCATAAGGCAGGTAATTCTTTAGTACTTCAGGAAGATCCCAGTTATCTAAGTTATCAGCGTCCCATTTTTTCCGCCATTCCATCGACTATGATTAAATAAATTTTTCGTAAATTTGTTGTTGCTAAATATATAACATCACTAGACCTCGATGAAGTAATCGAAATTATCTCAATGCTATACTCTACACTGACAAATACGTATGTTATATCTTTAATATTTTATAATAACATCAATACATATATTTGTGCTATCGTTTTCGTCTTGATCAGATTTTAATAAAATCAAGATTTCTTTTCCAATCTCAGTTTTTGCGTAATAGCGTGAATTAAAAAGTAACAATGTTAGTATTATATTATTATAACACATGATATTAATTATTTACGCATGAAATCTTTTTCTTCATAAAGATAATGTATTCTTGGTCTTGTGAAAGTTAAATTTCTTTCGTGGGAAAAGAATAACTGGTTAATCGGAATCCAAATATGTCAACTATTGCTGGACCCATCAAAAAAATATTATGCATATAATACGGCAAAAAAATGAGTCATGCTATATTTTCAAAAAGACACATTGGCGATATTAATTTAAAAAATACAACTTTATAAAAGTTTAACAATGTGTCTGTAAAATTACTCAGATTATCGTAACGTGAGTAAACTACAAAACTACAATATGTAAGTAAACTAGAACACATTGTGTTCTAGTACAAAATTATATTATTAGTATAATGCAGCATTTTTTATTATACTATATTATATTAAATATAATATATAATAATATAATATAAATAATTTTATATATAATAATATAATTATACTATATATATTAAATATAGTATAATATACTATTATTATATTATAGTATATTTTTAATTATATATACAAGTTATTGTTAAAGTATATTATATGTTTGCTTCCCTCAAATATTGTGCTTGTGACGGAAACTGAAAATAATTTTATCGTTCGGCGCGATTTTAACGTCTCGCACGTGTAAAATAATACAGCATACAGCTTTGTATGTTACGGTATAACACATGCCGTTAGAACGACTTTAGTCGGTCCAAGATGTTCAAGGTCATGCTGTTATAGGTGAAAGAAATATTTCTCACAATTTGCGGGATAACGATTTCAAGAATAACAGGGTTTCACGGCGGAATAGAAAGTGAAAAAGGGCAATTTCCTAAAGAAATTACGTCGGAAGATACTTAGCCGCATTATATATCCCCGGTTTTCAATCATCGTGAAACCTCTCGACACAAGAATACGGATGGTGACTTCGCGAACGTGCTTCGGAGAATCGGCACATTACTTTCGAGCTGCAAAATGGCACGTACAGAGAACAACTTTCTATTTCATATAAAACATCTTCGAGAACAAAAAAAGCGGAACTGTCGACAGCAATTCGTAATCCTCAACATCTTATATGAACCCGAAACGGTACTTTCTTCAATTTATTCGCGCGAGGATCAGTTGCGATTACTTTGATTGACGTTAGCGAACTTATTTGGTCGTTATTCACATACGAAAAGATAGTTAAAAGATAGTGTGACCGTCTTCACATTAATAAATATTACTTTGCAAGACATTAAATTTATTATAAATTGAAACATATATGTTTAATATTAATCCCTCTTTATTATTATCAAATAAAAAAATCTTTATAAAAGAGAATTTGAAATTGACATTGTCTATATATTTTTGTTTACTTTATGACTTTCGAAGTGACGTTTATTAATGGACGAAGCTAAGTTGAGATGACATCTGTCTTGACATTCTTGACTGGCATTCAATTCCAACCAATAGAATTTACTCATAAAAATAGACAAAGATTTCTTGTCAAGACAATACAAAGGAAGTTACGTTCTCAGGATGCAGCGAGCTACGACGCGATTCGCTAAGTTTACGCCTGCCACGTTAATATTTAATGACTCGCGAATAATTCACGTAGCAGAGAAATTTCAAAGGCTCGGTGACTGTATCCGGAACGTGTTTCACCAGACTTTCTCAATTGGATTCGCTTGCGTATCGTATAATGCGAACAGTAAGCCTAATCTGAGGGAACGGAAGTCGAATACGTAATCTGCGCGGTGTCCGGAGACCGTGCATCTTGAAATATACGCATGCATCTTATTGATCATTTAAATGAAATGTGAAAACACGGCAATATAAGATATTCAATTGCGAGATTTTCAATCAACGTTTTTGCACGACTACTTACGTTTCTCAGCATTTTTTCCGCCGCGGTAGGATCCCATTTTCTCGCTAAAAGAAGTAGAAATATGAATTGCAAATAACGTCATATTTTATGATATACATATTTATGAAAAATCACCTTGGATTATGGTGAAAGAAATATCACTCTATACATGTATCCACAATGTTTAATAACATTCGTTCAAGGCATAAATTATAAACAGGGACACGAATATTGTGAGAATATCGCGTAATTTGCAAGTACAATACCAAATGAAATTTATATAATAACATATATGCGACATAGAAAGAAGTAAAGAAAGCATAATTTTTGTTCATGTATCACAAAATTGTCGCGTTGTTTATTTAACAGCGAATTCGGTTGGTTGCACTAGTGCGCACTGAGTGCACACTAAGCCTTGTTTCCAGTCAATTCTTATATTTAAAGATCATCTTAAATACCTCTGGCAAGATTTCTTATCCAGAAAAATGGTCTGTACAACGTTTATACGGATCATTTTCTGACTAAATACCCTTTGAACATGTACTTAAGACAAAGTTAAATATAAGAACTGACTATATAAACAAGCCTTAGTGTGCACTCATTGTCAATGCGCACTAGTGCAAGCAACCGAATTCGCTATAAGTCAAAATTTTAATTATATATGCAGCATCGTCTAAATATACGTTAAGAACGTTTTCATTGTTGATTGCGTGTCGTGCAGCACTTTGCGTGACACACAGTTCTAAAGTAGAAACAATTAATACCGATAATGTCGGGTTTTCGTAGTTTTGTTTCAAAACAGTTTGATAACTTCGTTAATTTCTGCTTGGAAGCACACACGTGCACTCAAAGCAGGCAAAGAAACAATATACGTTACGTCAATCAATCTTTATATGAATATTTCTCGTGATGCGTCTGATCGCGTGTTTACACTGTAGTACAGGATAACATTTATCGAAACCACGAAGCATGCCTTAGATTCGAAGGTATTAATTCGTTATCAGGAGGTTGAGGCCATACCTCTCAACCAGCGAAGCAGAAAGTGGTCATCGTGGTGCGGCTGTAAGATATCTTGCACAGACCGCCGAAACTGCACAAAAAGAAAAGAAAGGAAATTATAGACCTGTTCTGTTTACTTTTTGTGCACTATATAATATCATTGTTGTCGAAACGTTTGCTTCGATTTCACGAGATTTTACGGTTTAGCAACAGGATTGCAGTTTCTTCAAATTGCCAGTAGTAATAATAAAAATTCTAAATTTCATCCAACCTCAGCATTTATTAATCCACGACGTTTCGACCTTTGGTTTAGGTCCTTATCAAGTGAGATCTGAGAGTAAGTATTGTACAGACAATAAGTATTGTAAATATAAGGAATACTTCTCACGTGATTTATATGTACAATACTTACTCTTAGATCTCACTTGATAAGGACCTAAACCGATGGGGAAACCGCTGAGGGCATTATGGTGTACAGATTTGCGGCATTACTGGGCATTACTAGGCATTACTAGGCACTTTTGGGCATTAGTTTCGGCATTAGGCCTTGCTGGGGCATCATAAAGATATAATAAGATAAAATAAGATAACAAGGTAAAGTAATGCCCACCGGGCATTAGTGGGCATTGGTGTACAAGATTTTGGTCAGCGGTTTCCCCCTCGACCTAAACAAAAGGTCGAAACGTCGTGAAAGCTATATTAATAAATGGGGCCAGCTAAGGTCGAATGAAATTTGGAATTTTTAGGATTGTTATACGTTCATGTAGTTTATAAGTCAGAAAGAATGACGTTAACATGTGCAGCCATGCGCGCGCGTTGCAAACAGCTATATCCCTATTTACATAGAACATTATGTATTATATTTACCCAGAGATTTATACGTTCGTATTATTATTTATTATTTATTCTTTTAATAGCGCTTTTAGTAGCACATATTGCTTTATTATGTAATACTGTATATGTAATACTTTTCCATACACAAACCGTGTCGTATTAATGTTATAAATACGCGAGGAAGTGAAACTTCCTCGTCGTTCCCTGTAATTATCAATGTTGCTCCGTAAGAAAGAAGGCCCGTGTTGACTTGTTGCATTATTAATCCGTATCCTAATCGAAGTGTCTACTTTCACTGAAAACCGTAGGAAAATCACGGAACGCAGTTGGTGGTAATACAGAACCCTGCTGATATTACGGAACCTCACAACATCGTAAAAATATTTAGTTGCATTCGATAGGTCACTGCGGAAACTTGTTTATTAAGTTATCCTTTGAGCCGTACAAGAACTTGAGTCACTAGCTTTGTAATAACAATAGAGCAAAAAGACTGTTTCTCTTTTGTAGATTTCCAAACTCCAGAAAGAAATATAAAACTTGGTTTATTTCTGTCTTCGTGATTAACAAAATTATTTTCTTCCGATAGTATCATAAGCGAGAGTCACTTTGTAGATAGCAGGGTGGTTTGTGACAAGGTACATTTTTTTTATTCCGAATCTCGAAATAAGAATAACTTTACCATGTGTCACAAAGTCAACCCGCCAGACACAAAATGACCTCCGCTTACGGTAGTGATTTATTTTCCATCTTATTAAATACACTGAGAGAAAAGTGCGTAGTATTTGCGACTATAATTGCATAGTAAAATAATTATAGTCAGGAATATCATTTTTATAGTAATTATCACTATAATATTAGTAATAACAACCACATAGTCATAGTGATGCCAACCAGCATAAAAATTGTACTATTATTTATGAAGCTTTTAACCATTATTCTGGTAAAATATTAAGATGGTGAATAGTAACT